TCTTTCTTAGAAAATGGATCAACCACTTTCTTCTTGGCTCCTTTTTTGCCACCTTTTGTAAGGCGCTTGTTCTTGCCGACCGCCATGGTGGTGCCAAAGGAACAAAAAGGCCTGAATCTGTTTTTACAGCTCTTTCCGTTTGAGAAATGCCAGACTAGTTCTTTTTATTTTATTTTCCAATCCAGATCTTAAGGAATGTTTTTTATTGTTCACATGGTAATCTCACAGGTGTCAGCCGGTCACTTGAACTGTGGGCCTCACACACTAATCCATGACAATGGCCGTGAAAAAACCAAGAGAGCAGATGTCCAGGAATGTGTTTCACATAGTGAGCCAAAAAACCTTAAAGCTTTTAGCCTTAAAGGCTAAAAACCAAGCCAAGCCAGTCACTACAAATTTTAAGATAAACATTGTGAATGATGAAAAAATCAACAGAGCACACAGAGCTTTAATAGATATACAAAAGGAACTTGCACACTTTTCAAAAGGCCTTTCCCTTGAACCTCTGCCCATGTTGAAGAGGCCACACAACTAACAGCACTGCTATTATAACCACGACGATGATGCATCAGGCCTTCGTACTTCACCCCTAAAGACCAATAAAATCAATGTTGTATTTTTTTTTTTTAAATCCCACACGACCACAGAAATTCTCAAGTTGTCTAATGAGCTGCTGGTAAGCCCGAGGTGTCTACCCTTAGTGAATGCACTGGAGGGGATGGTATGTAACAGCAGGAAGCAGGGAACTAGGTCCAAGTGCAAAGGAATTCTTCAAAGCTTAACATCAAAGCAACAACAGCAAAACAACTCACGTCAAGAGTGTTGAGACAGGGGAAGAAATGATACCATTTATGTAGATGAAATCAAGTAACACAAACAATGCTTTATCACATGTTACAGAAAGGAGATGGTACTACAGGGAAGTGGGAGGGTGAAGACCAGAGAGAGGCCTTGCCCTGACCTATTATGGTCTGTGCAGAGTACGAAAGCATGCGGTTGAAAACCAGAGAATGCACCACCTGTGGATTTAAAAAGAAAAACCACCACATCGCACAAACTAAGGTGCTGTCTGCTAGTGCCTTGAACATTCCTGCTTGAATGAGCAGCAGGTGGCAAGAACTTGCAGCGCTATCCAGACTTTGGCCCCCGGGAGAGAGGAGCACCTCCCACGCCAGCGCCAGCTCGGGATTGGCTGCGCCGCCCCCACCCCCGGGATTCTCGTGATCCGGTGACCAGCGGGTGAGAGCGTGGGGGTGGGGTGACAGGCCTTCTCCGGGAAATACGCGCCTTCAGCGCTCCAACCTGCGGCGCTGGTGCCCAGTCTTTTACACGCGCTCTTGCGCTCCCTTTCCCCCAGACCCTAGAACACCTAGGGGACAGCTGGGGAGACCAATGCTACGGGAAAGTTACTCGCTAGTAGGCTTGCAGCCAGTAAAGCTCAAACGCCTTCCCTCTTGACTTGTTGACTTGCTCTTGCCACAGCGCCCTGCCTCTTTTCACCCCCGCAGTGTCGGGGCCCGGCGTGCTTTACACACACACCACACACACCACACACACACACACACACACACACACACACACACCACACACACACACACACACTTGGTCGGGACCTTCCAGAGCGCGCACTTGGATCTCTGGTCCCCTGGTCGCCCCATTGGAAGAGTAGCCTGGGGCTCCAAAGTGCCTCCAGCGA